GCCCCGCCTCCGCCAGCCAGCCAGGCTCCTCCCCGCCCAGCACTTAGCACCTCCTGCTTCTGACTTTGGAGTCTTCCTGCTTTGCTTTTCCCCCTTAATTTTCTCCTGGGTACACTTGACCTTTAGACCCACTACTTCTGAAACACCTTCTCTAATCTCGTATTCTCATCCAAAAGTAGTATTTTCTTCCTCTCATAATACCTTGCTGGGATCAGTCTCATGGCGTTTTACCGCTTTCTGCCTGGTGTCATAGTTACTTGTGTACCTGTCTCATTTCCCGCACTAGAGGTGAGCTTGTTAAGGGCAAGAATTATGTCTTGTTCATCTGTATATTCCTCATGGTGCGCACACAGTGCCTCGTACTTAGCAGGCGCTAAATAAACATTTATCAAAGCAAAGCAATGGTGGTTTTTGTTTTTAATATTTAAGTGCTGATAAAATTACTGTGTCCGGAGTGCCCCATGAAAATGTTCCTTGTGCTAATGTGTAAGGGGACAGACAGTTGGTGAGGAAACCTGTTGCCCCCTTCTCTTGCAGTGAGTCATCGTGGATGGTCACACTGTCATCCCAAGTCCTGGAAAGTCAGGCTGAGTTGGGTCTCTCTGGATGAGTTATCCAGAAGCATTTCTCTCTTTTTCTTTTTTATGACAGAGAGAGTGCAAGAGAGCACAAGCAGGGGGAGCAGCAGGGAGAGGGAGAAGCAAGCTCCCCACTGAGCAGGGAGCCCGATTTGGGGCTCAATAACAGGACCCTGAGATCATGACCTGAGCCGAAGGCAGACGCCTAACCTACTGAGCCACCCAGGCGCCCCTCCAGAAGCATTTCTTGAATAGGGGAATATATATCAGGGTGTATTGAATGGTAGGGACCAGGAAATCCTGATTCAGCTGGGTTTTAAGGAAAACTTGGCTCATACAAGAAGGCCTGAGGTGGGCTGGCTCCAGCTCACTTGCCTGTGCGGCCAGCGCACCATGACAGCCACACATACTCAGGGACCATGACACCCCACCCAAAGGAGAGGGCATCCCCTTTTGTGCATCTCATGACTTCGTTAGACTGAAAACCCTCCCCAGAAGCCTCTCAGCAGCCATCTGCTTGTGTCTCACTGGCTACGAGCCTCTCATCTGACTCGTGAAACCAGCAGTGACAAGGGACTGTGGACTGACGAGCCCACGGCATGGTTACACGGACGACCTGCTTTGGCAGGGGACGAGTGTGCCTGAGTGAGTGGCACAGTCGGGAGAATGTCTTACAGGGAAGTTGGGGTCGAGTTCTTTAATAAAACCCCAAATACTGTTCTAGAGCTGGGATGTAGTACTTGGATGTTGTTTATTCATTTTTTTGTACTTCCATTACTCATTCCTATTTATAATTAAGTGAATAAATTGTTGCTCTTATACTTTTTGTCTTTTCACTCTGGGCATCTTATTTATTTATTTATTTATTTATTTATTTATTTATTTATTTATTTATTTATTTATTTGAGAGAGAGAAACAGCATGAGAGGGGAGAGGGTCTGAGGGAGAAGCAGGCTCCCTGCTGAGCCAGGAGCCCAATGTAGGACTCGATCCCAGGACTCCAGGATCATGACCTGAGCCGAAGGCAGTCGCTTAACCAACTGAGCCACCCAGGCGCCCCAATAAAGGGCATCTTTTATAAATGTGCAATAATCCAGGATGTATTAAAGGGTGTCAGCTTAAATGAAATTCCAACATAATAGTTATTATTCCTTTAATGTAGCTCTGTTTCGCAAAAAAACGGGGGAGACAAATGGACTTTTGAGAAAGCTCAACATATCAAACTGCTTTTCAGGAAGAGATCTCTATCAATTGTAAAAAATTAAGGGTAGGTCTTTAAAAACCTAAGCAATACACGGTAGGATCCATGACCCTATTAACAATGCAGCTTCTGGCACAATTTCAGCTTTTGAGATTTTTAACACTCCTTTTGTTGGAACTTTGAAATGAGGTGGGAAAACACACTGCTAGTGTTTGTCTTTAGTTGCATATCTGTGTAATCTGTTTTCACCAGAGTGTAGTTTAGCCAACATTTTTCTCTTAGTTGTAATCAGTATGTGTTGGGCATTAGTTTGAAAACATGGTGTTTTTTTTTTTTTAGGCTACATGCATTTCCAATTCAAAGTTGATGGAAATGCTAGATGTTTGCCTTATGTCGTAAATGCCTTCAGACCTCATAAACCCTTTATCTAGTTGTGTATGTCAGAACACTGCCATTGACAAAAGATGCCATTATCTTGCTGGCTTTCCTCTGCAGAATTCCATCCAAAGTGCTAGCCGTGTGGACAGCTAGCTGGCCTTGCTCCCTGCAGTGTGGAGCACATGGCTTCCTGCAGTGTCCCATTTCAGGTTCTGGTGGAATTCTGTCCGGACTACTGGAGTTGGACAGAAAATCAGATCTTTGGTTTTCCCACCTTTTAAGGCTGTTTGTTCTTGTCCTTGATTGCTTGTAGTCATGCACTTTTATTTCGACCCAGGATAGTTTTCCTGCTGATATTAAACTCCAAGCATCGTTTAGCTTGTAGACCGGTACCTCCGTCTAGCCAAATCCTGTCTGTGACACAGTTCTGCCCAGGAGTCAGTTTAATCCCAGGTGATGCCTGACCTGTGTCAAAGAGAAACAAAGCCATTCTAACGGAGGGGTGAGGGCAGACTTGACTGCACTGGGGGTCCAATGTGAACTGAGCCAGTTCCCTGGAAAAAAAGGCTGGAGTCTTTTTTAAAGGTTGGGGGTGCTAAGGGAAAGGCAGCGAGGGGTGTGATGGGGTTCGTCTGTGTGACAAGGCCATCTGGATTTGTGAGTTGGCGCTTCTCCCATCTTTATGATGGGAGGTGGTGGGGCATGTTGAAGCAAGGTGCCCACCTGAACTAGGCCTTTCTCCTCCTGGATATTTATGTTTCGGAGACATCTTGGGTCCTTATGGAGATGGTTTCCGGTGGTAGTTTCACATCTCAAAGGGCAGCAGAAGGATTTATAATTGCCAGCTTTCTAAAAATAACTCTAGGAGGGGGTTCAGGGACCTATCTGCTCATCACCACGTTTTGGCCGAATCAAATATATTCTGCGAATGTGCAGCTTTCTCAGGTGGGCATTTTAAGGGGGTCTAGGGTCATCCTGGGTACACGGCCTTACGCTGCTAGAAGCTGTGCTGGAGTTTGGTCATGTCTCAGTGCAAGAGGTGTGGATGGGTCCTCACGAGCCAGAGGTCAGCAGTCCTGCCCCGCCCTGCCTTGTCTGCAAACTTGGTCTGCATTCCCATTTTATTCTATGGCATTTCCCCTGCAATTCTGCACACGGGGGTGGCACCACTGAATTGAAAAAAAAAAAAAAAGATTCGTTCTTTTTTATCTGGTGCCTACACATTTGGGTATCAGAAAGTCTTGTTTTGATGTATGTTGCCCCCAAATACTAATCTGAGGAAGGTATAAAACCAAAAGGTAAGAGTGTTTAATTTGAAAGCTATTAGGGGCCAACACATTCCTCAATCAAAACAACAGGATGGTTTATATATTT